TAGGGTGTATAAGCTCACTGGGAAGTGAGAAATCACCCCAGGGAGGATGGCCATGCCACAATCCCTTCTCCTCCATTCTTTTGGGATTTGGAGCATGCACGCACACATGCCTGGCATAATTTTCAAGTCCAGGACTCGAACTCTGTTCAGCTCTGTGGCAATGCAGCACCTTAACCACCATGCTACCTGCTGGCCCCAGCTGACAAGTTCTTTTCACTAATTTCATCACAGAAATGAGCAACTATTATTCTGCCTTATCGATTACCTCATTTTGAAAGACGAAAACATATACTTGTTATGCAAAATTCTATGAACAGTTTTCAGGTCCCATGGAGTGGGTCATAAGACAGTACCTCTGAGGCCACAAAGAAGTCTATAAAGAGAGCTTCGTATTTCCTTCTACCCTTTCTAAAAGGGAAAGGGGAAACCTACAGGAGAGAGAAAAGCATGAATGCAGTCCATCTGCCCAGAAACTGTCTGAAAGCCTCAAAGACTGAATGTAAAATGAGGAAAACCCCCAGTCCAGGAACCCAGATGTGGGGTCCAGAATGCAAGGGGAGATCTTGCTCACAGAGAGCCAGCTGGACCTGTCTCAAACCTGCTTCAATTTCTCTCTGTGCCGTTTCCCTTTAGAGACACTTTTGGATGACAGATAGTTGAGACATTCTAACGAAACCTATTAAATCCCATTTGCCCAAAAAACTGCACACATACACAAAATACTGTGTCTAGTTTCAAAGCATCTTGGGTCTCCTGAGGCTCCCCTGAGGAGCTGATAACCTTTGGTAATGTTAAGAAGCCCTACTTTAGGGCCAGCCCCATGGCCTAGTGGTTAAAGGAACCAGATCCCACATGGCTGACTATGTAGTCCAAATCCTAGACTTGGCAGCTTGACAGGCATACCAAGTACATGTGTGCAGGCTCCAAATCTTGACAGGACGGAGAAATGGAGAAGAGGCTGCAGCATGACCATGCCCCATTGCAGGGGTCTTTCTCCCTGTTTCTGTCTTTCTCTGGCAAGCACACATAGTCTCTCTCTCTTTATAATTATGATATATAATATTATATATATATTTCTTTTTTAAACCCTCTGATATAGAGTCCTCTCATATGCCACAAAAACCAACAAATTCCCTCATTAAACATAATACAGTCTGCATGATCTGGGGAGGAAAGAACAGGTGTGTTTTATTTTGTTTTGCTTTGTTTTTTGTCTCAGAGTTAATGAGAAAAGAATTAAATACACAGGGAAGGAAGTTCCCTAGAGAAGGCCAAGGCAAGGCCGCATGCCCTCTGGGAGGGACAGTGTAAAGGAGACTGAGTATTGAATGATGGTCAAACTAGGTGACCTATAGGGTCCTTCTAATGAAAACACTGATCTGAAAATGCTTTACGTCGTAGCAGAGACTCCCCCTGGGGAAGAGCTACACCGCTAAGTGGGTGTTTCATGCCAAAGATACCACGCTCCCAGGAGAGACCCACACTTTTCATACGTCTGGTTTCAGCCAGTCCATGTACAACCAGGACTGAGGCCGGTAGGCTAAGGCACCAGACAGCCACATGTGAGGAAGGAGGCTGTGGTGAAAAAAGGGCATGCCATATATAGTCCCAACAAGGCCTACATCTACTGTGACCGCAAAATATCCAGCCCTTTGACTTCCGATATACTTATTTTTTAGCAGTCTCAACTTTTGATACCTGGAGCACATGCTTAAATGGGAATGTCTTTAAGAATTACTTAATTTTATTATTAGTTTTTAAAGAATTATTTATTTATTTATTTATTTATTTATTTAATTATTATTATTTTTAAATTTGACCAGACAGAGGCAGTTAGAGCAGACAGAAAGGGAAAGTGAAGAAGCAAGCTACCAGGTCCAGGACTCAAACTGCAGTCAGTCATGTAGGAATTCATCGCCTTTAGCCACCACGCCACCTGCTGGCCCCAATTTTATTATTTTTTTAATTTGACTAAAAAGAGACAGAGACAAAGAGAGTGAAGCCACCAGATCTGGGACTTGAACCATGGTCAGACGTGGAAGGCCAGCAACTCAACCACCATGCCACCTGACTGCCCCTTAAATGGGAATTTCTAAGCCCTTCCCTCTAGGATCTGTAGTGACAGATTTCCCTAACCACCTTACCCTGAAGCCTCAGGCCACATTGGGCTGGGGCAGATCAGGTGGCAGGAGGAGCAGTCAGCGGTGTTTCCTTCAGTGGAGCAGCACCAACAGATGGGTGGCAAACGTGCAGCTTCGTGTTCAATGCGTAAGGAAAGCCAGCAGGGGGCAGCACTGGAACAGGGCACACGAGAGAGCGGGAAAGCATAGCCGGGAGGAACCAGCAGATGCAGGAAATAGACTAGACACAAAGCAGATTACAGTGATTCCCCAAGTCCCTGTGCTTGCCTTTCGTTCCCAGATTTCGCCATCTGCATGCAGCACCTGTTCTAAAACCGAACAGGTTTCCTTTAAAAGGACTCTTAAAGACAAACTTTACTCTCCTTCTAAGGAATAAAGTGCTACTTAAACTTTTCTTCACACACACTGGAATAAGGCACAAGTACTAGCATGAAAATGTTTTCGACATTCCCCTAAAATCACCTGGCACCTTAGAGGTCCAGGTGCTGCACGCGGGCACATCTGGTAGCCAGGAATCTTGAGCCTGAAGTTTGGTCTTAACTCCACTCTCACTACCCTGCATGGTCTGCTGAGGAGCCACCACCTCCCCATCTAAGGGACAGAGAACTAGAAGGATGCAAAAGCTGCCCTGCACAGCTGACACTGACAGGCAGTGTCAGCAGATTCCCTGTGGCTCTGGCAAAAAGTCCCACCAAGGTCTATGTTGGCAGGGCCCTAAGTTTCCCAATTCCTCTTGGGGCTACCACTGTGCCACAGTCTGGACTCCTAAACTACTCTTGAAAGCCCCGTTCATACTCACACAAAAGGCTGGATGCACATGGGCCCTTCCTACCAGTCACCAGTTCAGTTTTGGCAATTCTGCTAGCAGAGCTACATTTATTATTTTAAAAATGTATTACCAGCTTTTCTTTGTTTAGTGATAAGTTTCCTTTAATTGGTACAAAGGACAAAAATGGACAAAAGGACCCATGGGGCAGTTCTTAAAGCTTGATCCAGGTTCTCTGGATTTAAAACTGGTGTGCTCAAATATAAGGGAAAAGAATAAAAATAATGCTAGAAATTTATAGGCCAAGACTATGACTAAAAGGCATAGGGATTTTCTATAATTTTTTAGCTTTTAGTAAACAGGGCACTCCTTATAATGCCTAAGTCTAGCAAACCCATATTTACCATACGCAACTTCTGTATATTTCCAGAAATACAGTAGATTCACAAGCCTGCTTATATATTTTCTCCTTCCATAAAAGATTTGAGGCAGCCTACAGAAAGATACAAATAGATAAATCTGGATGGGATCAAATATAAATCAGAAGGCTAAAAATGTAAGATCTATATATTTTATTTCTGTAAATTATATCTAAAATATACCTCAATTTCTTAAAAGAAAAAAAAAAAAGACAAAGACAAAATAAACATAAAGGGGAAGTAAGAAGGAGAAATGGGTCCTGTGGTCATAAGTTGAATTAAGCTTTCTGCCAGCCAAAGCTAGAAGGTTAACATGACCAGGAGCGGATTCTTTTTTTTTTTTTTTTTTTGAGAGGTTTTTGCTATAGGGCGCGTGCGCTAGCCAGACAGACAGAGAGATAGAAAGCGAGAAATCACCCCCCAGGGGGGATGGCCATGCTGCAATCCCTTCTCCTCCAGTCTCCTCTTGGGATCTTGGGCACACACGTACACGTGCCCAGCATGAGTTTAAGCCACCGGGTCCGGGACTTGAATCGACTACATGGGACTCCAGCGACATAGCCATTATGCCAACTGCTGGTCCCCAGGAACTGATTCTTATTGCAGAAGCTGTAGGTCTGAGCACTCAGATCTGAAAACCGTGTTTTAGATGCCTTTGGTGAAGGACAGTGTCCTTGACGACACCACCACAGCATACCCATTAACAATCTTCATACAACCATCTCTCTGTAACTCAGCATGAGCCTGGCTAAACATTTCTGTAGCAGGACTGAGGTAAGCAAGCTCTGTAGGTTAGACAAGTAGCTTGGAGGCTCAAATGAGACAGGGACATGAGGAGGAAGAGCCACGAGGCACAGTGCAAGTACCAGGGTCAACTGGTTAGCTCTGGATGCATGAGACCTGGAGAGGCCTCGATGCTAAGACTCGGGCGAGGGGTGCATTTGGAACTGACTTCCTGGTCTGACTAATCCAACTAAGTTCAAACTGGTCCTGGGGGTCAGCCCTTATCCCAACCCAATTCATAAACAAATGCCATGATTACCGGGACATTAACTGCAAAATAATAGCCAAGAGGATCCCTGGGCATGTCCACTGAGCTCTGTGTAGCAGAGGCCGCGACCTGGGTCCCAGTGCCCACATTCTTCATTTTTGGTCACAGAATCCCCTGAGTTTTACCTGGGCACACGACTACCCAGGTAAGACCTGTTATCTCGGCATCCCTTTCACCAAAGCGTGGTCACAGTGATTTGAGCTACTCAAGGTCGTATCTTCTAAAAAAGACACTGTTTTTTTCCTCACTCGCTCTCCAGCGGAATGTCAAGGGGCTGTGTCTGCTGTGACCTTGTAGGTACCTGAATAACAAGGAGGAAGGAAACCGACTTCCTGATGCTCTCATAGAGTTAAATCTGCCCTGGACCATTTAAGGACTATCACAGGAGACAGAAATAAACTTCTGTAAGAGCCACGTAATTTTTGTCCTCTTACAAGAGTTTCTGAGTTCATGATTCAAAAAAATGATATTAAGAGAGTTCAGAGGCCTCAAACAATACCCACAGAAAGGCCATTCACAAATCGTTTTGGCAAACAGGTCAGAAAACAACAGCCACCAGACAAGTTGAGTCTCCCCTACCCCATCGGCAGGACCGAGGTCCAGCCACATCCACACCCTGCAGGTAAAGGAAGAGGCTTTTATTATAGCACAGCCCGAACACAAAACGCAGGTGCCCCCTGTGGGCGTGGGTCAAGTCCTCAACAGCTGGGGATACAGACCGTCTTCACCACCAGTGCTAGTCAGGACGGTCCTGGCCTACCTTTTCCCCTAAAGCAGGGAAGGTCCAAACTTCGCCATTCTCCACAACCACCATTCTTAAAGATGGGCCAAATCCAGTCAGGTGTGGGGTAAAACAGCTGTGGAGAGGCTGCGTGTGAGGGTCAGGGGAGGGGAGTCCAGGCCTCAACCGGAGTCACAACTGGGAGCCAGCGAAGGAGAGAAGCCCCCACAGCGTGTGGGGTCCAGGGACCTGAGAGTGCAGTACCTACTCCTCCTGTGGAGTACCCCAGCGAGAGCGCAGCAGGCAGCTGCCGGGCACTAGCGAATCCCAGCCACAGGCACCTGCTGCTGCTTGCGGATCTTGTTGAAGAGCTCCATGTACTGGACCATGGTATCTGCTGGGCCGTAGACCACGTCGTGTCTGTTCCCAAACACAGCAGGGGCGCCTGGTGTGTGGCTGCCTAGGAAGCTCTGCAGGAACTCGAGCAGCAGGCTCCAGCAGTCACTAGCCACCACACAAGGGCCATACTCCACCTGGGGACCGAAAGAGCAGAATGACGGTGAGTAAGGGCAGGAACAAGTCTGCTTTTCTTGTGCCTCCTGCCCCTGCTCCCATCCTCCCCAACCCCGAGCTGAAGACGTGTACCTTCTAACACAGCACTGGTCTACAAGATGTATCCAACCCAAATGCCAGGGATTCACACCCAGAAGCATTCCTACAGGTGCCTGAAATTCTCATCCAAGGGTAGTGCCAGCCCACAGCCCTCCTGGCGAGACCCAGATGCAGACCTAGGCCTCATCTGATCAACTCAGGACTGTGCAGTCCCTGCTGTACTAGGTGAAGATTAAGGAGAGCTCAAGAAAGTGCTGAGATACAGCGAAGGAAAAGAAAGTATGTGTGGGGTGGGCGGGCAGGTAGACACCATGTAGGCAGACACGTGCCCGTGAGTCTCGTGAGACCAAACAAGACTCCCAGGGAATACCCTGCCTGAGCTCCGATCCCAAGACGGACATTCCCAGAGTGGCACGGCCCAACGGTACAGCTCTCTGGTGCTCTCATCCCCCTCTCCTAGTTTTTCACTGGAGCAGGGGGGGGGGCTTCTGGCAACCATAGTAGAAATGA